AAACAAATTTGTGTTATGAAAATATCTCGCGCTTGCGACCCGATACTTCAACTCTGCACCAATGTGAGGAGAGGTCTATAATAATAATTATCTAGAGTTGATAAAAGAACGAGTTTTATGTTATGTTAAATGGTCAGTTATAAAATAAAATATATTTTTTAAGTTATCTTATTACTTTTATTTTTAAAAAAATATAGAGACATACTAATGTAACTAACTATTTAATAATCACATTTGAAATTACTTTACACTTTTTGTGATTATTTAGATTATGTCTTCTCTAAATCTTTATTATGTATTCCTTTTGCGGACTGTAAGTACTCAAGTATGTCAATGTAACACCTAGTCCTGATGCATGGTTGAATATTCTTTAGTTCTTGTTCAATCAGTTGAGAAAAAGTATGATTTCTGTCGTCAACATCGTTGTAGTGCAATAGACATTCATTACATTCATTTTTTTTATTTTTTCCCGTGTATTCAGTCAGTTGACATTTCTCCTTAAGATTTTTTTTTATCAAATGCTTCAATTCATCGTCTGTATCGGGAATAATACAGGTACGTTTTATTTCTGAAAGTAAGAAAACAAATATGTAAAGAAAACAGACACCAATCACGAGAACAGTCGGAAATAAATACATATCAAGGATTCAAACCGCCAGACTATCATACAATCTATCATTACTCATTACTATTATAGCTGACTTACCCCTCACAATAACAAGCATATCAAATGAAAACTAGCCATCAACCAACCAACTCGTATAAAATACCCCGCGACAAGCTTTTAGAAAAGCTATAGGTAACTAAATGGTTTATTGAAAATTGCCTATTAATTATATTACATAAATTGGACACACAATTACATGCAGGGTTCATGTAAAGTAAAGTAACGTTGCAGCTTATTTACGTCCCACTTCTGGGCACAGACCTCCTCTCATTTCTGAGAGGGTTTTAGGGTAAGGAAATGCCCGCGCGCGCTGCCCCAATGCGTTTTGGCGAACTTCACATGTCTTTGAAATATTTTTGTATTATTTCTCAGACATGCAGGTTTCCTCACGATGTTTTCCTTCACCGCCGAGCACGTGGTAAATCAGAATTAGTGCCGGCGGGGATCGAACCCGGGTTGCTCGATTACTGAGAAGCTTTCAGCGAGCGCTAACCATCTGAGCTACCACGGCTTGCAACTATACTAATCAAATACAAACATACATACCCGTACATATTTACAAGAACATTATAGTTAATATACGATGTGAAGTATGAATGCAGCTACAATGTTAATGAATACAAAACATTGATATTAGACACTTACCTTTATCCATTTTAATATAACCTAATTACTCACAATAATAATTATTTACTCGTATATTGTATAGTATAGTATCCTCTAATACTACAGACGAAGGCGAACTAAAAGAAAAGGCATGGTATGCTAAGCACGCTCCCAACGCATCCCCTCTTCTATAAAGAATCTTTTAATCGGGTGACAAGGAACCGATATAAAGGTATATTACCGGTTCCGAGAACCTTTAAATCATCAGATATAAAGGTTCTCGGAACCGGTATTTAGAACCGGTACATCGGAACCCAAACCGGAACCGATACCGGAACTGGAACCGTAACGAAAAGAGGAACCTTTATAAGAACCTAAATGAAGAACCAGAACCGAAATTGGTACCGGTTTTCAATCCCTGCCATAGAGTAAGTGTAATTTTGACCACAGACATCATTTTCGAATATTGTTGCTCTCGGGTCACTGTCAAAGTAAGGCCAGACACATACATACGGAAATCCGTTTCGGGATTCCGTTTCGATATTCCGATTCGGGATTCCGAACGCAGCAAGTCCATATAAAATCTATGACCCGCCACACACGTACGTTAGTTTTCCGTACGGAATTTCTCCTATTCGAGATTCCATATGACCGCCTGTGCGTTCGGGATCCCGAACGGAAAAAAGCCGCTCCGAACGCACGTCTTCCATAGATTTTGTACGAGTCGCAACACACATACGTAAATTCCGTATGGAACGCGCTCAATGTTCGTCGCACGACCGAAGCGAGTAGGTGTGTTTATGTATGTTTTTACATTTAATCTTGTAGGTGTATAGCTTTTCGTAACCTTTCATCTTATTTTATTTAATAATTCGTCGAAAGAATTTACATACATAAATATTTGACAAATATCTCTGGATAGATAGATCTTTTTACATAGTATTGACTATATTGCAAGCTTAGGGTGATAAGGGGATGCACCTAGTAAAAATGATACAGCAACAATGGAATCACAATTAGAAAATCGTCGTCATTATTCGCTAGCAGAATGTCTAGACGCAATGGCTAACGTCTCTCAACTGACCCTTGTTATTCCGAACGGAAAAAACGTATGTGTGTGATGTATTCACGGAATCTAGATTCCGTTTCGATATTCCAATTCGGGATTCCGAACGCAGCAAGTCCATATAAAATCTATGACCCGCCACACACGTACGTTATTTTTCCGTACGGAATTTCTCCGATTCGAGATTCCGTATGACCGCCTGTGCGTTCGGGATCCCGAACGGAAAAAAGCCGCTCCGAACGCACGTCTTCCATAGATTTTGTACGAGTCGCAACACACATACGTAAACTCCGTACGGAATGCGCTCAGTGTTCGTTACTGATGTGACGAGTTGGATTTTTTTTGACTCGAGTTGCTCGAGTTCATATGGTTACTGACTCGAATCGTAACTCGAGTTGACTCGAATCGATGTCTGCTGTAGGGAAAGAGAGGCGACTCGGCCGACTCGGGGACCACGAGTCAGCTCGAGCTCGAGACTCACGAGCGGATCGCTAACGGTCAATCAACTAATAAAATTAAACAACAAAATGTCAATGGTTTAGTTTTTAAATAATTGCTTAATTTATATTATAGCAAGTTATAGTTATAAATAGTAGTAGTTATAAATAAAATAAAAGAAAAAAAATGTCAATCAAAATAAACATTCAACGCAGTTTTTCATTCGCGCAATTCCGTTTCCGTTCCGATCCTGGCCGAGCGAGCCCGACTCAACCCGAGTTCTATAATCTATTCGAGTCGATACGAGTACGATGCAACACCTTACGAACGGCGCGCGCGCGTGTGTATCGTAACATAATAAATAATAATTCACTCAACTCGAGTTGATGCGAGTTGCAACGCCTAACGAACCGCGCGCGCGAGCCGCGTGTGTAACTCGGAACAACTCGCGTGTGTAACTCGGAACACCGCGTATAACTATAACGTCCGGTTTGCGTTCGGACGACCGAGTTGATTCGAGTTGCTTAAAACTGAACTCGAGTAGACTCGTTTAAGGTTTGATTCGAGTTACTCGAGTCAAATAACTCGAGTCGCACACCGCTAGTGTTCGTCGCACGACCGAAGCGGGTAGGTGTATTTATGTATGTTTTTACATTTAATCTTGTAGGTGTATAGCTTTTCGTAACCTTTCATCTTATTTTATTTAATAATTCCTCGATAGAATTTACATACATAAATATTTAAAAAATATCTCTGAATAGATAGATCTTTTTACATAGTATTGACTATATTGCAAGCTTAGGGTGATAAGGAGATGCACCTAGTAAGAATGATACAGCAACAATGGAATTTGCAATTAGAAAATCGTCGTCATTATTCGCTGGCAGAATGTCTAGACTCAATGGCTAACGTCTCTCAACTGACCCTTCTTATTCCGAACGGAAAAAAACGTGTGTGTGTGATGTATTCACGGAATCCCGATTCGGGATTCTGAAACGGAATCACGAAACGGAATTCCGTATGTATATGGCCGGCCTTAGACATTCATTCTCCTCTATTAGATCCATAGACATAGTTCTCTATGATTATGATTATGATTAGATCTGTGATCTGTGTACATTGTGTGCACTTCAATTTTCACACAAAAAACTGGCAACACTGTGAATTTCGGGGAACACCCCAAAACTAAAGCTCTCTGACTTGCACTCATCTGCAAACGTGCGCGAGAGAAAAGGATAGATCCGAATATACGGACGAAGCGTTATGGCGTAGGGTCTCTAACTTAGCCTGTTTGTTGCACGTATTAAGTAACCAAATTTAGAATGCAATAAGATTGTAAGTATTCGATTCGCTGTTAATAACATTTGTAATTACAAGTATTATACCAGCTATGTATTTCATTTGTCTGTCATTTGCGAAATTTCTCCAAGAGTCCCGTGCGTGCATGTCATGAATTCATTTTCATAGTAATTTTGGATGTATAATTGTGTTTGTGTAGTGAGAAAACATGGGAAAATATGTCAAGCATTATTGTGACGAATGGGAACGAAAACAAAGACAAAATTAAGGAACAGAATGCAACTATTCACGTTGATTGCAATCTTTAGAATCTGTATACACATGAATGTCCGAAGTATTTGCTGCAACAATTTTCAACCAAGCAATCACATGATCAGTTTACATGCTGGGAGAAAAATGTACGTTTTCAGTTCCAGCGAAACTTGCGCCAGCACCAGCACAGCAGAGGCTATATTAAATTTTGATGGTGAAAGTTTTGCTGATGCTTTGTTGCTGCTGGCAGCAGACGATGATTTTTTTTTAATTTGATACTTTATGTACATCTTATGAATAAACGAATTGTTAAAAATTACGTTTTTATTTATTCATAGCGAAGTGACGTTCGGGCTACTTTAGGCTACCTCAGCTCAAATTCGGCTACATTAGACTACTAAAGCTGTGAAAAATAGCGATATCGGGTTCTAAGTTATTGGCAACACTGATTCATATATCAGTTCCGTCATGGCCTAAAGGTTAGATACCAGCCCATAAACTCCAAAAAAAATCTGATCTGTCAAAGAGTCAAACTGTCAAATCAAAACGAAAATCGCAAAAGATAGAAAAAATACCTCCACCCGAACGCTAGAGAAATTCTTTCAGTGAAAATAATGGATTTTTAGCATAGATCCTCCACAATTAGATAGAACTATCTAAATAAGCCCAAAAATGGTTACTATAATAAAAAATCAGCTTCTGAAACACTTATCAAGGTAAGAATCCCTTATGTTGTCGACACAAAGCTATCGCAGACTCAAATTATTAGAAGTGAAATTAACATTTGAAATTCTAGCGATGATTAAAATGGAAATTTCATTTAACTTACTCTACTTTTCAAGAATAGCATATTGTTCTTATTTAATTTATTTAGTATTTTAATGTGACAATGATACAATTTTAATTTAATTATTTATGTTAATGATTACATTTTGATGTTTATATAGCAAGCGTTCATTTAATGTGATTGCATCTTTACTAGATACACAAAGAATCTGTCTCCAGAACAGATTTCATTGTCAGCACTTCGAGGTTCAGGAGAACTTCAAGACTTGACTTTGGACGAGGATCTTTTAACAGATCTGTTGGAGCTACCAGCTTGGGTGAGACTGAGCTCGGCGAAGTGTAATCGAGTAGCATTCAGAATTCAATGGACTAAGCTGAAGACAGTGCCTATTGTTCTGGTAAGTCAAATTTTTTTTGCCACTATTTAAATTTCAGGTGTACAACAATAAATATGGGTATTTATCGGGAAGCCTTTAGCCTTTTAGCTTTTTTTATAGAATGAGGGTGACAAACAAACACATAGTCTACCTGATGGTAAGTGAATGCTGTGGCCCATAGACATCTACATTTATATTCTATTAAGAAACAAAATGCACATGCGTTGCCATCTTTGAGGACCAAGATGGAATGCCTCGTTTTGAGTAAAAAGGATCTCCGGTTCGGTACGACTTTCCATTGACGTCAGTGGAGTTTGGTGTTGATACGTATTTTTACAGAAAGATTACACTATTATAAGCACACACACAAAGTCTCAATACACGGAAACGCGTAATTTTTGAGAAAAGAATAATTGAAAATCAATTATTCTTGCAATGTTTATGTCTAATCTGCTAATAAACTGGCGCCATTTTGTAATGTCATTGTCGACGTCAATAGGGATGTCGATTCTTTCCGAAAAAGATCGATTTTTTAAATAGATTCGAATTGTAAGCTGATGTATCGATTCCCAAAAAATCGATTTCTAAAATATCGATATTTTTTCATGTTTGCATTTATAATGTAAATATAAATCCATTTTATGAGAAAAAATTCCCTTCATCATAAAAAAATAACGGGACTGATTCATAAGGATTTCTGTATCTATTTTGAGACTGCTACGTCTCCGGCGCTGCGGGAAGAGCAACCTCTACGCCTTAGCGTAACAAATCGCAGGCATCGGACGAGCCGGAGCGGCTGAGGCTGGTCGCCGAAGGCGACCAACAAGCCGAAGCTGCGGAGGCGAGGATTGTTACAGGAGGATTTGTTACAGCAGGCGGAGGCTGCTCCCCCTACGCGCCTCCGGCTCTATAAAACCACTCTAGGGGTAGGACAGACTCGTACCAGGTGGAGTCGGAGTCAATCAATTCGGTTCTTTGACATAAGTTGAACCTAACCTATTTTATTTGTTATCTGCCCTAATAGGTACTGTTAAATAAAACAAATTTCAATAAAAGATTATTTATCATGGTATCTTTCTTGTTTTTCATAAAATGGGTTTATATTTACATTATAAATAGAAACATTAAAAAAATATAGATATTTTAGAAATCGATTTTTTGTGAACCGATACATCAGCTTACGATTTGAATCGATTTAAAAATCGACCTTTTTCGGAAAGAATCGACATCCCTATTGACGTCGACAATGACATTACAAAATGGCGCCAGTTTATTAGCAGATTAGACATAAACATTGCAAGAATAATTGATTTTCAATTATTCTTTTCTCAAAAATTACGCGTTTCCGTATATTGAGACTTTGTGTGTGTGCTTATAATAGTGTAATCTTTCTTTAAAAATACGTATCAACACCAAACTCCACTGACGTCAATGGAAAGCTAAGCCTCCGGTTCTTTACACTCACTATACAAAACACAACATCACTAAGCCACTATTTTATGCTGATATTCTTTGAGAGTGTGGTCTTACCCTTTCAAGCCAAGTCATTTGTGCTGCACCATAATATAGCTCTGGCTCTACCATGCTGGCTTAAAAATGATTTACAGAATAGGAGAGGAACTCCCACACCCCTTCTCTTTGTAATCCAGTCACAGAATCAATAATAGTACTACTTTATATAATAATGGTAGATGGTAGAAGTTTCATTACTTCGATCTTGACAACTAAGATTATACAGCCTACAGTATTAGGTAGGCACCATATGCATTCTAAGTTGAGCCAAATTGTTATGAGCTTGTGTAATTATTCCTTTGTGTTGCATTTAGTACAGAACTTAAAGAGTTATTAGATATTGTACAGAACTTAAGTATGAGTTACTAGATTTTGTACAGAACTTAACTATGAGTTACTAGACTTTGTCCAGAACTTAACTATGAGTTACTAGATTTTGTACAGAACTTAACTAGAGACTACAAAGTAAAGTACCACCTTTCCACTCAAACGTCCGGGCGACCATAGTCACCTAAAACTTTTTCCCCTTGAATGTTAGGGTGACTAGAGTGGCCTCGCTGACCTCTATACTTTGAACGACATTTTATCTATGGAAAATTATAAAAATCTTTATAAATGTTACATCAGACGGCTTTTTATTAAAAATGCCTCTATGAGTTGGTGAAAAGTCTATGCCAGGTAACAGATACCATTGAAAAAAACAAAAAAAAACAAGCGTTGTGTCAAGGTTTGTCGGTAGTACTATGAGTTCTGTATTTAAAATGTAAGTAATAATGTGTTTATTATACTTTTGTACTAGTATTATATATGAAAATAATTCTCAAGGTGCTTTCTTTTAGTATATCTACAAGTTTTATGAATGCAAAGTTTGTAATGATGTTTTTATATGTGATGAAGTCTACATGCGAAAATTTCGCTTTTGTGTGTTGGTTTTTCGTTAAGAGTTTGTATTATATATTATTTATTTTAATAAAATATTATTACTAATGTAATTAAATTCTGCATTTCAATAGCTTTCTGTGGTGATTTTTATTCTGATATAGGTAAAGAACTTTCTCCACGGTAAAGGTTTTAGTGGAACTGATCACATTCGGACAGTACAAAAACCGCGATAAGTGGCGCCGGGACGTTCAAGGGTATTGTCGCCGCGTCGCCTGGACGTTTGAGTGGCTATATTTATCGTAAAAATTTTATTATAATTATCTACAATTTGGTGCAAGGAACATTGTAAGTAATGCTGATTTTGAAACCAAACAAATATTTTGTTTTTAAGCAAGATTTATTTATAAAGCCTATTTTACAGTTTAGAAGTCTTAAAAATATGGGATGGCATTTATTTTTCACCTCTAAATTATGTCATAAATTAGATTGAATGAAGAGAGGCCAATATCTTGTGATTAAAACGCAATATTGTATTGTAAAGTGTTCAAAAGTCAATTTCTTAGTTTTATTTGGAAAATAAGGCATCAAATTTTTCCATTCCTCACTTTGCTTGATTCCTAATTTGATTAATTTACAATAACCCTTACAGTGACCAATACTACAAAGCTACAAGAGGCAGTCTTCCTAGTTTGGATTTATTCTAATTATGAAACAATGTGTGAGAAGTTATTACATCAATTTATACAGATTTTTTTTACACTTCAGTACAAAGGTTATTTTAATTCAACCATTATTCTCTTACTCAAAGCGTATTTCATCTCATTTATTTTTAAATGATAATTTGTATGTGGTAGAGCCATGTTGCAGCTATATTTCTGGTATAGTTGTAGCACGGGTCGGCTCGAAGGACCACGCTCTCACAGAATAGCTGCTTAAAATAGCAGCTGTGTTTCGTATGGTGAGTGTAGAGAACCGGAGACCCTTTTTACTGGAAATGAGGCATTCCATCTTAGTCCTCACGGGTGACAACGCATCTGCATTTTGATTCGTAATCGAGGATAAATGTATATGTCTATGGGCTACAGAAACCACTTACCATTAGGTGGACTGTGTGCTCGTTTGTCACCCTTATCATATAATAAATAAAATACATACTATTTGTATTTTAGGGTTGGGTTTAGAATCAAGTCGTCTGAATTTGAAGAGTCTGTCACTGTGGGGGGGGGGGGGTCAAGGGGGCTTATCTCAAGCACCCCCATGCAATTTTAGCTGCCGAAGCTGCGTCGAAATATTGCATGCTGTAAGCGCCTAAGTACGTCGTTATGTTCTATTAGGGCCTAAAAATTAAGATTCCAACGTTTTGTCGCATGAAATCGTATCTAGCAATCATATTGTATATATAAGTGATATAAAAAGCACATTGTCAGAAAGATAAATGATTCTTGAACTTATTAATATTTTTTAAAATCGATTAATGGCTATTTTTAAATAAAAAAGGGAGTTTTAGTGGCTTATGGTGTGGATTTATCAAGTGCGCAAGGCTTGTAAACACGATAACTTTTGAAAATATCAATTTTTCAACTCAATATATTTTTAAAACTGCATCTATCATGTGGGAAGCCATTGAATGTAAATGGCAGTTGAATTTTCTTTATTTATAATAAAGTTTTTGCGGTTGCGATATGGCGAGATTTTCGGTGTATTTCGCAGCCTTGTATGAATAAATTTATACTAAATAGAGACTGCGTCACTCAGTCTCAGTTCGGCGTCAGTCGCCGCCGTGAGTGGACATTGTTTCGGTTGCTTGCAGCGGCTTTAAAAGATCGCTATACAAATACAGAATATTCGAATAACCAAATTTCTTAAATACTTGATTATAATAATAATGAGAGATTTTTTTATTACAATGTTTTAAAAGCACAGAATAAATAATAGTAGTAGGTACATACTAAAAGTAAGTAGTATCAATTATTTCGTCATGGGTGTCATTTTCATGGTTTTCGAGGGTGTTGAAGCCGCTAGTGCTGTCGAAATGTAAATCCAAGGTGGCGGCTGCAATAGGTATACATTTTTTCATCATGGGTGTCATTTTCATGGTTTTCGAGGGTGTTGAAGCCGATAGTGCTGTCGAAATGTAAATCCAAGATGGCGGCTGCAATAGGTATCATTTTTTTCATCATGAGTGTAATTTTCATGGTTTTCGAGGGTGTTAAAGCCGATAGTGCTATCGAAATGTAAAAATCAAAGATGGCGGCTGCAATAGGTATAATTTTTTTTCATCGTGGGTGTCATTTTCATGGTTTTCGAGAGAGTTGAAGCCGATAGGGTTGTCGAAATGTAAATCCAAGGTGGCGGCTGCAATAGGTATATATTTTTTCATCATGGGTGTCATTTTCATGGTTTTCTAGGGCGTTGAAGCCGATAGTGCTGTCGAAATGTAAATCCAAGATTTCGTCTGCAATAGGTATCAATTTTTTCATCATGGGTGTCATTTTCATGGTTTTCGAGAAAGTTGAAGCCGATAGGGTTGACGAAATGTAAATCCAAGATGGCGGCTGCAATAGGTATCAATTTTTGCATCACGGGTGTCATTTTCATGGTTTTTGCGGGTGTTGAAGCCGATAGTG